AAAAAAATTGACCAAATAAGAATCATATGGAAAAAGATCAGCCAAATATGCATTTGTTTTTAATAATTTTTTATTTAAAAAGATCGAAGTAAAAAAATCAGCATATTTTATATGTAAATATGTGCACAATTTATTTTATATGCATATTTAAAATTATAAATAGATTCTTAATTGTCAACCATTCTGAATGCAGTTATGTTTATGTAGCCAATCTGTTTACTTTCATTAAATTAATGGAAGTACTTGGGTGATTGACCCCTTGGTACTTTGATCTTTTTTCAATGAAGCTACCACCAAGCGTGTGTATGGGGAAACAATACTCATCAGAATTTACATAAACCATAGTCTGTAGCATACCTCAGACTAGATCATGATGCCATAAATGGTCTGAAATTCTAGGTTCTTGCTTTCCTATTCCTATCATCATTCATCTGAAGCTGATGGAAACCCATTCTGGAATTATTATTTGCTCCTACACTAGTACTAGCATTAGGACCATCAGCAGGTGAATGAAATAAGAATAAACATAAAATCCCTGTCTTCATCTGAATGATGTGCACTTTGGACTTGTTATCCACTGTCAGCCCATATGAGCCTTTTCCCATAGGATTGAAAGATTTTTTCCCTTAGTTATGGCCCCTAAAAGGTTAAACTGCCCTCTATAAATGACTGAATACTTCCCCTTTAGTTCAATGGTTGAAATGAAAAGGCTTGTCTTGGGCTGAGCTGAAGCAAGCCCAAGAATGGCCCATGCATACACTAGGCCTCAACCATAGGTCCAAGAACAATCAAATAGCAAGTAATTGACTTGCTCAGTTTCCAAGACTGGCAAAGAAATATGTTGATGAGGGTAAAGTCAAAGTAGTATATACATATCATTCTTTGGTGTGGTAAATATTCCATGAGCATAAGGTAACTCTGATTTTTCAATGGTAGAAGAGCCCCTGATATTCAGCTCAAAACAAAAATAAATAGGAATATAGTTCAAAAGAAAGGAACTTAAGGACCATATTCTTCTTCTATCTTAGTTCTGATGAAGTCTTGAATGAATTTAAGAACATTGTTAAAGAAATTCTGATCTATAGCAGGAATGTCTTTTGGATTTTAAACAACTATAGTAGCTAAATAAAAGCAGTATATGAGACATATATACACAGTAAATGTTATTGTTCTACTGCAAATACTGAATTCAGAACATGGGAAATTAAGGGGCCATAATGAAAATTCAAGTCCAGACCTAGTGTGTTTATACACTTGACCTAAATATTAACTTAATTGCCCATTAGGCCTGCCCAACCTATGTGCGCCACCCACCATTCCTATTCCTAGTGCAGAGTCATTTTGGTTAGTCTAAGTTGAATTCAGATCTATCTGTGCATATGAACCTAATCTTTTGCCATCTCTAATGAAACAAAACAATCTGAAAAATTGACTGGAATAGGATGAGTCTACTTGTAGCCTATTTGGATGTTCCATGAAATAGAACCATTTCATTTTAGTTTTACATAGCATCTTAACCCACAACATCGACACCCAAAATGGATTTAGTCGTCAAGAAAAACTGCATTTAAGTAAATCTCAAAGGAATTTAGAAAAGATCTCTGCTACAACCAGCCAGAGATCTTACCAACTGATCCAGTTGCCCTCTTCTCTATCGATGATCAGTTTATATCAGTATAACAGTTTTATCCACAACAAACCAAATGGAGACAGGTTTCGTGGTAGTTGAGAAGGTCCAAGGCAAATCAACTGTCACTCTTTGCTTCTCAAAATATCCTCTCATACTCATTATACCCAGAAATGTTCATTTCAATTCAGCTCTCAAAAATAATAACATGAACCTAGTAAATCAGATAATTTACTTGCAGCAATAAACTTCCACACAGGAATGAAAAAAAAAAAAAAAACAGAAGAAAATGTTTCTTTTGGACTTCTGATCAATTGGGTAAATACCTTCCTGCAAAACCAATTCAGCTAGCTACTGTTCTAGCTGTTTGTTCAAACTCGTGCTCAGTGCTTTTGGTCCTTGTGCATTATAACACATTAACCAATTTGGCAATCCTTTAGGAATCAAGTTGGGAATCTGGTATATTAAATAAAACTTCCATAATATTAACTCCAAGTTGCCTTGTAAAATCTATTTTCTTTATCTTATTATTATCCATAATTAAGCATTTTAACCTGTAAGATTCAAGTGATAAATACAGGAAATGCAACAATATATGAATTTTACTCACTAACTAAAAGCTTAAGTCATGGACAAGATTCAAGTGAAAAATCCTTTTTTTTTTATCTTGTAATATTATAAGATTAAATAACTAGGCATTTCACTGAGTATGATTCAGTTTGACCATATAATTATTACAGTGGTTCCTTTGCAGAAGAGATTGTTGGTAGCATAACTGAAGCCAACTAATTGTTCTAATAAGATCAAATAGATGCATATTCTCTGATAAATCTATTCATTGAGATTATTTCTTTAAGATTAACAAGCAATGAGACCAATCCTAAGTGTTCTCTATTAGTGTTCCTATTATTATTAAATTTATATTGCATATATTCTATTTTGTTCCTGCTAATTTTAAAACCAATTGTTTCTAAGGCATTTGTCCACAAACCTAATTTTGCATCTAATCTTTTGTTAGTTTTATCAATTAATACTATGTAACTAGAAAACAATAAGCACCATGGGACCTCCTTCTAAATATGTTTAGTTAATTCATCCATGATTAATGCATATAAATAAAGACCAAGTGCTGAGCCATGGTGAATAACATAAAAAGACTGAAGAGCATCTGATACATAGCAGACACCTGTTTACATTACTTTCCTTTAGATGATTCCCCAGTATATTTGATCTTTGTCCATCCCCTGTCTTGGAAGAGAWAACCATGCCATTTAATTATCTTTGAATCCATGTGAAATTTAGCTCCTTTGCCAAACTTCTTACCTCTCTCATGTCTTGTCTGTAGCTTCATATGAATCTGACAGGAACCTGGCCTGTTTTGCATTACCCATCCAATAACTTTTCTTGAATTCCCTTCCACTATCAGATTTGTACTGTTGAGATATTTTCCTAATCTCTGTCCCCGTAATAAGAAGTATAAGTTTCTACTTATACAAGGGTTAGTAGTGTTTGAATCCTCATTTTCTTTGGGACAATATTATGAAGTTCCTACTTTCCCTAGTGAAAGAAATAATAATTAAAGTGCTTTTCTAAGGATCACCCAAAGATCCTTTGGGGTGTTCTGGTTCTTTTCAACATACATACTGAAATATATTTTCTATTCCAAATAATTTGAAGTATTATTCCCCACAAAATTGCTTACTAAAAGYAAAACCAGATTTTTCCCAATTACATGCTTTTAACTACAAATAGAAGTGGACTGACTAATGTCTTGTTCACTAAAACATGATCAGATAGTTGAAAGCTTCAATTCTATTTGAATAATTAGYGATTCTTATTTATTTTAGTACTTAAACAAATAACCTTCCAAAACCGTGTATAGAATGTTTGAACCAAAAGCATGAGTTCTATACACAGATGYATCACAAGAAAAGTGCAACCCTGCGGTAACAAACACTCCAAAAGAAGGTAGAAACTATTAGTTTAATTACAACACATGCATATTCACAGTAAGGAGATTAATAATAAAATAAGTCATTGTTCATACTTTATGACCCTTCCACATGTGTTTTCTTGGTCTTAGAGATATTACTGCATAAATAGAGTGCGTAAAAGAAATCCTCAGAGAAAGGTATAAATAAAAATTGCTTTTCTTAAGAGAATTTATATTCATTTGTCTGCATAAGAGAGAAGCGTGGAAAAAATTAAACCTAACAGATTGAGAAAGGATGGATGATAATAATATAATGTACAAGGTWTCTGAAGTGGATGACTTACTTTTTCTATATCAATATAAAAGGATGAGATTCTATTAGTGAGTGACAGTAAAGGAATTATAAGAGAAACTAGTGGAAGATGACAGCAAATGTGGCCACACCACAAGGAAACAAAAAATAAGAAAATAAGCTAGGATAGGACCAAATTATGCCAAAAACAGACTATGGTAGATTATAGTCTACCATAAACCCAGAAAAATTGCTGTACACATGATAGATTATACAGCTCAGTTGCCTGTTTTTTCATGTATTTTCATGAGAGCCAAGACCAGAAATCAATATTTGATGTTTCAATACATGACATAGATATTAGATAATACACCATGAACAAAACAATGTCCATGAAAATGCACAGCACAATGTATTCTCCCACCTTGCAAAACAACTGTCTCATTCTTACTTTTGAAAGTGCCCGTTAACAGCACACCAGTGAATGGCCAACCGGAATCATTATATACTTGAGCAGGGTTAACAGCTGTTTCCTCTGCTTCAGTTAAATCTGCCAACTCTGAAGTAAACTACAGGTAAATCCAGTGCCTTGCTTACAATAAATGGATTTCTTCTGAGTTTATCATTTCGAGTAAACTGCTTTACCCATTATCTTAAGCAGGGTTGCTTCTAAGTTCTCAGAGAATATTATGTTAACCCAAATTAGTGACAAAAAGAGGAAAGGAACGTGTGGGGGGAGGAAGCATGTATGAGCTAGAAATAACTAGCATTGATATAATTACATTACCACCATCATAAACCACTGAACCAAACCTAAGTAAATCTCTTTTCCTAATTATTTCTTTCTTTGGTTCTTTTTTTTTTTCTCTAGACCACAAGAAGCCAGACCAATCCATAAGAAGCAAACCAGGCTGGCATTGGAAAACCATTTGAAGATTTTATATGGGTAGAGCTAGCAATCATATAATTAAAACAATGGAAAAAACTTTTGGGTTTCTTTTCAAACTCCTCATAAACAGCCAAATAAATAAAATGATTGAATTGAATCGAACCAGAAAAATCAAATTTCAAAGCTTCATACATTTGCCAAACTTATAACTTGGTCCTTAGACCATGCACAGAAAATAATAGAAGAAAAGGAAAAACTACTAATCATGTGGCCTTGGATGCATCAGGATATCAAAGTCACTGATAGTCCAYTCTACAACTTGATCAGGGTTCATGAAAACCTCTGTACCAACGCCAATAGAGTCCCAAGACCTATCYATAGGCACAGTCCCTGGATCCTGATAGAAAGGTAATGTGAATGCCAATTGTCCAGCCTTTAGCTTCCACTTCCTTGAATCACCGATCCATCCATCTCCTTGCTTCTTTGGGAATCCATATGATTCCCAAACCGGATGAGGTAGTATCTTAATAATCTCCTGTGGCATTGGATTGCTGTAAGGGTCGCATAGTTGGTATAGCTCTTGAAGGTGTCCAGCATTGCTAGGTGCACAGTAACTATGGTAAGCCTCATATGGAAAGTTTGCTGTGTCATTACGATATAT